ATATTGTCATTTAATACATATTTAATTGTATAATTATATGTGATAGAGGTTTTCCTTCATGTTACTACAATAATAAAGAGTCATTAAGTACTAATTAAATGAAGCCCATGGAACATAAAAGCCTTGAAAGAGAATTGTAAAGTTGTTACAATTATGCGATCACTATGTATCAAAGCTATGTTCCTAAAATTGTTCTTGGTCATTGTATTGTCAAGATAGAGCATTGACAATGCTCAAAGACTAGTGCATGTTAAACCTTTTTGCTTGAGAAATAAGTAATGGATCTCATAGATTGAAGTATATGGGATACTTGAGGATAACATGCAGGTGCTTGTTAAAGAATAAGTTCACTAAACATGACCTGCTATGAGAACTCCATTTGGTATTTCACTTAAGTGTCTATGAAAAATGTTCTCATGTGATAATTGTGCAATTAAGCCTTAGACTTGAGATATCAGGTTATCTTGTATGGAGAATGACATATTTTGATTTCACCTTTACAGGTTTGGATGCAACCAAATGCCTAAACAGAGTATTTTGGGTATGCCATGAAGCATGCAAAGGTGAATGAGTGGTCAAGAGAGGATTCATCAACCTAAGTGATATGAGGAGATGTATCTCACTTGTTCTCAATTCTTGATTAATTTGTATAAAGTTTTTAACCAAAACATGATGAATTTGAGGAAAGTTAGTTTTCTAAATTCATAAGGCTAGTCATGACTTATGAGAACTAATATGGAATGTCATAACTAGACACCGAGTTATGCTTAATGACATATCCAGGATATTTGATGAAAGGACCGTATTGCACTTAGAGGCTTATCACTGAAGGGTTTTGTCAAATTCTTTAATTGACTCTTTAACATTTGGGTGGTCATGATATATTACTAGATGCCGCTCATGATTTATAAATATAAATTAATTATCAAATTGATATTTGATTATGATTTATATTTATTACCAACATGTTAAAAGCTTAATAGGTCACACACATTAAGTGACATGATTGAGATTAAATAAGGATAATTAATTAAGTTGGACTTAATTGAAAGAGATCAAAATAAAGTAAAAAATTAATTAAGTTCTCAAAGATTTAATTAAATTAAAATATAACTGTTTTATTTAAGGTTATAACTTAGTTTGGCTATATAAATATATTATATTAGCAAACTA